GTGGGACTGAGAATCTGAGTTTCTAAAAGGTGGAGTCAGGGACGCCACCATAAGAACCATTGCTCCTAACCGTCTCGAAGCTCTAGTTTGATCTTAAACCACTCTGAGTATTGAGGCTCTAAATCGCAAGTTTCTACAGTGATGGAAATGTTCCAGATCTGCGTGCCCAACATGGTAGCCACGAGCTACCAATGGCGATGGAGCTCTTAAAATGTGCCTAGTGTGACCGAGGCACTGAGTTTTTAATTGTGTCTGATTTGAATTAAATGTAAATGTCCATAGCCACGAGTGACTAGCAGCTACTGTGTTGGACAGCATAGCTCTAAACAAAAGGGCAAGTTAGATATGTCATTGTTGCTAAACTGTTTACTCCAGTGTTTAACCTCAAGTGAGTCAATGAGAGACTCTTCCTTAGGAAACATCTGGTTTGCGGGGAGGGTCGGGCTCATCATTTAGACCGCGATACCTGATGCATAGGGCGATGGGACCGGGGGATCTCTTTGGGGGCAGGGTTCTTACCTTCCTTTTCCACCAGGACCAGCACAGTGCCCACTCGTGAGATGCTAAGACCACGTGTGTTGCATGAACAGGAGGGAAGACTGGTTTCAGAGCTGCCTTCCTCCCAGCTGTAATGGGTGAAGGCTTTGACGCTCCCAGCCCCGGTAGCTGATTCAGTGATGAGATGAGAGATTTGGATTTGATGGCACAGCAGGACCTGACAGGATTTGTTCAAATATGCTTGGGGATGGGAGTGGTCCGTGATGGTGAATTTCTCATATCACAGGGAACTGCAGTGTCTCTCCTCCTTGGCTTTGCAGGTGGCTCCCCACTGGGGATTTCCCCTATCAAAGGAGGTATTTTGTTTGAGGAAGATAATTTAAGACTCTATGGAAGTATAAAGTGTTCCTGAGGCTATCCAAACTGTGACTTAAACCCTCAGTTGAAATAGGGGCAGGAACAGATGGGCCCAGTCTTCCCCCCCTTTCCCTTTCCTCCCAGGCAAGCAGGGTGGCAGGGAAGGCGACATATGTCTCATATTTTGGAGCCAGAGGGCAATTTTCCTATCCATTTGCTGCTCCTGATCATGAGCAACAGTCTTCTGCACTGTGGGCCTCAGTTTGCCCATCTGTAAAATGGGGAGGGTGGGATTGCATGAGATCCTTGCTACTCAGAGCATGGCCCACCGCCCAGCAGCAGCAGCCTCACCTGAGAGCTGGTTGGAAATGCAGAATCAGACCCCACCCCAGACCTGTGGGATGGGAATCTGCATTTTAACAAGTTCCCCCACGTGGTTCAGGTGCACAGCCAAGGGCTGGCTGGAAAGGGTCTCCGATTCCCATCAACTCCTGCGTTCTGTGAGCCTGACGCTAACTGGCAAGTGGCTTAGTCTTGAGGAATTAGAAGCCCAGTTTCTGGAGAAGAGACCAGGTTTTGGAATGTCCCTGGCCTTTGGGGAAGGTTTTTGATCTTTGCAGCAATGAGAGAGGTCGGGGCAGGTATGTTTCCAAAAGAAAGGAGTAGCTCATGCCAGCAGAGCACGTATCACGGGGTACCCTGGGAGACGCTCTGATTTGCAGAAGCCAAGGGTCTTCTAAATGCTTCTCTCTGAGGAGGCGGGTGGGGGTCCCTGTCCCTGGGGTCCCCAGCGTAGCAGCCTCACACTGAGAAAGGGCTCAGGGCTGCCAGGGTTCTCCTGTGTTTCTCTGTGATCCAGAAGGATACTTGGGCTGCCCTGTCTCCTGCCTCCTCCTTCCCCCTGGGGATGCTGCGTCAGGACCAGGTGACCAGAGAGGTGCCTTTCTCTTCTGGGGGGAGCTGGGCCTGGGCTGGGATGTGTGGCCGGCAGACCAGGGAGTTGGCTGCCCACTGCTTGGTTCAGGAGAGGAGTGGGGGGGCCCTGCTAGGGAATGTTATGGAGGGGGTTCTGCAATTCATCAGGGGAGCTTTCTGTCGAGAGGGAACGAGCTCCTGGGACTCTGCCTTTCTGTTTCCATGGTTTCTGGTAGCCACTGAGGTGGACCTGTGGTTTCCTATCCAGAGAAGGATCTGAGTCGAGCCTGTGCAGGTGACCCAGCCTGCACCAGCCCCGTTGGGCCCTCCAGGAACCATGGCACAGATTTTAGGGCCTGTGAACAAGAAACCTAGGTCATAGTGAAAGGGAACATCAGTGCTTTCCTGACCACAAGAGAGCTGGAGGGAGATTCTTGACACCTTCCCCAAACTTCGCCCCGGTTTGCTGTCAGGATCATTAATCTGTCCACACGGCTCAAATCAAACATTACCTCCTCCCACTGTGCCCAGCCTGGAGGTAGGTGGGGGTAGTGTTATTGTTCCTTTTTTTTGAAGCGTGGACTCTGGAGCCGGACCTGCTGGGTTCAAATCCTGGATGGGCCCCCTGCTGGCTCTGTGACCCTCAGCAGAATCCCAGGCCCCACCACGCACCTACCGAATCAGAATCTGCGTTCTAGCCTGCTCTCCAGGGGATGTCTGCGTGCAGTAAAGTTGGAGAAGTGCTAGCTGGGTTCTCTCTCACAATCCTACCAGCTCCTACATTCTCTTAGTTTGCGATGACATTGCAAATCATTTAATCTTTAGGAATTGGAAGCACAGTTTCCGAAGGAGAGAGCAGGCTTTGAACTTTGCCTCCTGCTAGCTGTGTACCCTGGCTACCAAAAGAAAAGTGACACTCTTTGTGCCTCAGTTTCCCCATCCATAAACTAGGGATTAATAACAACACCTAGCTACGAAAGACTAAATTAGCCAGTAGACGAAAAGTGCATAAAGCAGCGCCTGACACCTAGAAAAGGCTGTGTTAGTGTTTGCTATGATTATCATTATTGGCATTGCTGGTGAGAAAGCCGTCAGCTTCAGACAGATTAACGAATTTACTCAAGGATGCCGTGTTAGCTTCCTGGGGCTACCGTAACAGAGTACCGCAGGCTGGGTGGCTTAAACTACAGAAATGTATTTTCTCAGTGTTTTGGAGGCCAGAAGTCCAAGATCAAAGTTTCAGCGGGTTTGACTTCTGAGGCCTCTCTCCTTGGCTTGTAGGTGGCATCTTCCTCCAGCATCCTCACATGGTCTTTCCTCCGTGTGTCTGTGTCCTGCTCTCCTCTTCTTATAAGGACACCAGTCATACTGCATTAGGACTCACCCACATAACTTCATTTTACCTTCATTTCCTCTGTCAAGGCCCCTTCTCCAGATACAGTCCCAGGCTGAGGGACTGGGGGTTAAGACTTCAGCATATGACTCTTGAGGGAACACAGTTCAGCCCGTAACAGGTTCAACCATAAAGTGGCATAAAAGTCAGTCAAACTGTGTCCGAGAGAATTCAAGAGGGTGTGGTTGTCCCAAAGCCCCCTCTGTCTCAGCAGGAGACAGAGTGGCCTATATACACGTGTGCCATCATAAGGGAAGTGTCCAGATCCATTAGGCTGAAATCAAATCTTTCCCCTGACCTCCGCTCGGTGAGGCAAAGAGGGAATGTCCAGACTGTTCTGTCTGGACAGTGGTACCATCTCTTTTATCTCCCTTTGCCCAGGAAGTGAGCAGCTGGTCATTTTGGAATATGGTGCCTAGTGTTCTTGTCTCTCTCTCCTCTTGACAGTAGGATATTCCGGGCTTGGGGGTGGGGGGCAGGATTCATATCTGATTCTTTTCTGTACCACTCACAGGACATAATCTGGAGACCAAGATAGATGAGCTGATGTTTTTAGAGCCAGCCGATCTCAGCTGAGCCTCATAACAGTAACTCCTGGTTATGGGTAGTATTATTGTTCCCATTTAAAAAATGAGAAGGCTAAGGCCCAGAGAGTTTGAGTGACTTGTCTAAGGTCACACAGCTGGTGAGGGCCGGAGTTGGAACTCTAACCAGGTTCTCAGCTCCATCTCCCAGGCTCTTTCACCCATCGTGCGGTGCATCTTTCAGAACAGCAGCTCCCGCAGCTTGAGCACTGACCACTGGTCAGGCCCAGAGCTTTGCGATCTTTGCATAGAGCATCTCGTTTGATCCTCACAATGACCTTGGAATTTAAGATGCATTATTTCAGTTTTTTTAAAAAATTAATTTATTTTTGGCTGTGTCCGGTGCTCGCTGCTGCGCATGGGCTTTCCCTAGTTGCGTTCAGTTGTTGTGGCACGTGGGCTCAGTAGTTGCGGCGCACGGGCTTAGCTGCTCGGCAGCATGTGGGATCTTCCCGGACCAGGGCTCGAACCCGTGTCCCCTGCATTAGCAGGTGGATTCTTAACCACTGCGCCACCAGGGAAGTCCCAATTATTTCAGTTTTACGGATTAAAATGCGAGGCCCGAGTGGTCACACGGTTTTCCCCGATGTGAACTGCATGGCTGGGATAGAAGACTCTGGAGCCTGCGCTCCTGGTCACCACAGTGTCCTGCTTGGCTGAGCCGGGCCTCGTCTAGGTTTGCATGAAATGAGAATTGCCTTAGTGCGGGTGTGACAGGGAGAGTGACGGCTGTCACTGTGCTGTCTCCTACCCCAAACTGGCTTCCGGATCACCCTGCAGTCCATCTCACCCGCGGCCTCAGACCTTATACTGACCCTCCCCACTACCCCCTACTCCCTTTCTTTCTTTCTTTTTTTTTTTCCACATCTTTAATGGAGTATAAGTGCTTTACAGTGCTGTGTTAGTTTCTGCTGTATAATAAAGTGAATCGGCTATATGTATACATATATCCCTGTATCCCCTCCCTCTTGCGTCTCCCTCCCACCCTCCCTATCCCACCCCTCTAGGTGGACCCCAGGCTTATCTCCCTGTGCTATGGGGCTTCTTCCCACTAGCTATCTCTTTTACATTTGGTATTTAATGATAATCCCTGAAGAAAGTTCTGGCTTCTGCAGGCTCTGCAGGCATCAAGAACCCGCATCCCCCTGGGGTCAGGGATGCCAGGGGGCATGTACTTGCTAACGCTGCTGCCCCAGAGATGTAGGGGCCTCTCTGGAGGCTTGAATAACACCAGCGCTCCTTTCTCTCTGCAGGTGACAGGTCCTACCCCAGGGCAGCTGAAGGAAGAGCAAAGCCCCAGCCCCTGGTGTGTGATGGCAGCAGCGAGGAGACCCGGAGACAGAGGGTAGCAGGCGACGCCTCTCGTCCCTGCTTTTCCTCCTGCCCCTCCACGCCCCTGTGAGGCCTGGCAGACACGGCATGGAGCTGCAGCTGGACGGGAAGGTGCTGAGCTCCTAGAAAACGTTAGCTTGTTCTCGTGAAGCCTCGTGGAGTATCCCGCAGTGCCGGCCCTTCCTCTTCCAAATGGCTCTGCCAGAGGGGTTCACCGCACCCTGTAAGGAAGAGGCCAGCTCAGGACCATTGGAACCCAGCAAGGGCAGCCTTCAGCCAGCCTCCAGCCAGCCTCCAGCCAGCAGCTTCCTGCGGAGCCTTCTAGCATTGTTAGCCAACCGTGCACTCTTCAGAGGCCTTCAGCAGCTGGGAACCCTTTCAAGACTGTATGTTGCCAGCTGGAGAAGCTGAATCCTAACTCGTGTTGCCAGAGAGCTTTTAGTGGCCAGCTGAGAAAGCTGTCCTCTCCTGGTGAAGAATTCCCAAGTGAAATTTGAGAAGCCTTGGGATTCACAGCAACAGAATGTTTCTCGAGGTTTCTGTACTCAGGCCCTGGAAGCCACTCACGGAGGACCACCCCCAGCAATGTGGGGTCGCGACCTCTTTGGAGCAGGGGGACCTCTCTGTATCCAGTGGTACTCAGATATAGCAGGTCTCTCTCTTGAATGTTGGGGAAATGAGGCTTTGAGCATTATCCTGCCAGTGGGAATCGTTTTTACATCCATCCCGAAAGTGATAACTTTTTTGTCTCTGAAATGGTCAGAAGATGTCAGGGCCACAGATTCCCCGTACTCCAACCTTCCACTCTGCACACGGGAAGTCGAGGCCCAGAGAAGGGAATGTCTGGATGAGGGTCACCCGGCAGTTAAGGCGGGAGGGGTGCCCGCACCCAGATTGCCCCCCGCGCCCGGGTACCTCCACCCTGGGTGCCGGCCGCGTTCCTCTGCCAGCTCACGGCCCAAAGTTTGGGTTCCCTTCATGGAGCCCCAGGATGATTTGGGGCTTCTCAGCAGCAAAGAGCAAACTACCTTTGGTTTTTCTAAACAGATGGAGACTCGAGAGCTGGGCTCTGACTTTCCCCAAGGGCCACAAAACACTCCTGTCCCGGTGTCCCCTTCTTTTTATTGCAAAGAGCATGAAAGCAGACACTCCTCTTCTGGGGGCCATGGGAAAGGCGCCATTCCCAGATGCGGTGACGCCTGACATCAGCGGCCCTGCAGAGGCGACTAGAATGGGTCCTGTTGTTCTCGGCATATCAGGCCAGGGCCAGGCAGGGTGCCCGCCAGGAGGACACTGCGGGCATTGACGCTGCGAGTATGGTTTCCTCCCTCCCCCGGCCTCCCCGGCGCACCTGTGCGGGAAGGACCAGGCACAGGGCCAGGGTGCTCTGTTTCAGACCCTCTTGCCGAGCTCACACAAAGTGCTTCACCAGGAGCTGAAAGGTCAGGGATGATCAGATTTGTCCCTGAGCTCGTTCAAAGGGAGGAGCCTGTGTGGGATGAGAGAGATTTCTTTCTCAGTGTGGGAGAATATCTGTTTGTTTCCAGGCATGACTACAGTCATGCTCTGGGGAGGACCTGGGGACGTGGGCATGGAAGCTGGAGCTGGTCGCTCCCCAAGCCCCTCCTAAGCACTCTTGTACGGCACACAGGACTTGAAGACAGAGATGTTTCTCCAAGGGCATTATATTATGAAAGGGGAATTGGCATTATATTATGAAAGGGGAACTTTTTTTTAAAGTTCCTATCTTGAGGTTTATCTAGACAGGTTCCCGTATTCACCTTCTATCTGAGTACAAGGGGGAGAAAAGTGGCTTTCATAAAATAGGAATGTAATAAAATTCATTTAATTCTGTCACACATAAAAATAAATCCACAGTCTAGGGCTGTTTCAGCTCTCCACAGGGTCAGAGCCTAGGCTCTTACTCTCTGCGTTGCCATCTTCAGCACATGGCTCCCATTACATGGCCAAAGATAGCTGCTGAAGATCCAGGCATCACATCCATATTCCAGCCAGCAGGAAAGAGGGAAGAAAGCCTTCCTGCTTTCCCTAAGGACGTATCCTGGAATTCACACACTGTACTTTTACTATATTGGCCAGAACTTAATTCCGAGATCACAACTAACGTAAGAGAGACTGGAGAAGGTAGCCTTTATTCTAGGTGGCTGTGTGCCCAGATAAAAACCCAGGGGTTCTTTTCCAGGGAAAAATGGATATTAGGAGACAATTAGCTATCTCTGCCCTGCCTTCCTCTTGGATGGGTAATATTAGAAGGGTTTATAACACACAGGCATCATATTTAGGATCTCAATATTATCATCAAGACTTGTTTTAGAAGCACAGACTTGTATTAGAAATCAGCTATAGTCCACATCCTCATTTTTCAGATTAGGAAACTGAATCCCAGAGAGGTTAATCAGATCAGCTGAGATCACACAGCAAGTTGGTGGCATCTATTTTCCAGCTCATGTTCAGTGGGAATATTTTTTGTTTTTCTCTGTTTTTAACTTAAGGGGAAAAAAAAGCCCTTCATTCTGGAGGGTAGTGAGCTCGAGCGCCAAGGATGAAATTCCATCCATCACCGGGTCTCTGAGCTGCAGGACACAGGCGGGACAGTGACAGGGCTTTCATGCCCTGATCTGCCCAGCCCTGAGTCATGGCAGCTGAGGACTTTGCATTGGCCGGCTGGAGTATGACCACACTGGCACGGCCTCTGCGTGTGCGTGTGGCCCTGTCTCTGTGTGTGTGTCTGCCCCACAAACCGACTCCAGCCTGGGGAGGCTGCAGGTCTGACTCAGTGTGCTTTTTTATTTCAGGGAGCGCTCTGCCAGAATGAGAGCGGCTCACGGTCCGGACGTCTCCTTTAAGGTGCTGCTGACAATCGGCTGGTTCGCCCTGGCCCGCTTTCCTGGTGCCGCATCCACAGGTGAGCCACTGCAGAGCAGTTGGATCTCTGCATCTCCACGAGGAAGGCCAGGAGAAGGAGCCGCAGGGTGGGGTCAGGGTGGCTGGGCTCTGGCCTGCCCCTGCTAACTCGCTGATCCTGGGCAAGTCTTATCCTGGTCTTCAGTTTCGTCATCCACAAAATGAGGGGGTTAGACTAGGCTCAGGGGTTACAAACTCAGTGTCTACAGGAACCAGGCACATGACACAAAGCAGTGAAGCTGGCCAGGTAGAGATGTGGTCACCTGGGGAGTTCACGCCCCTCTTCAGGGACACCCACTTCTCAGTCCCGGCCAATTGCTACCACATGGGGAGGCGGGGCCCCTGTTGCAAGACCTATTGAATTTTTAAGAGGAGTCAGAAATCTAGACTTTCATGTAAAAGCTCTCTACTTGTTAAAGGATGGCAACCAATTGAAATTTTACCAAACGCTCAGGGCGGTGGTGGAGCAGAGCAAAAAACACATATCTGCCAGCTGGCCTGCCGCCTCCGAGCCACCTGATCTCAGTGTTCCCTTCCTGCTTTGCTGTCATAAGATCTGGGTGCATTAAAGCACCTTGTTAGCCGTGATGCTCTAGGTGAGGTTTAGATCTCTCTTTCTGATCTCGATATCTTCAACTTTTTCTTTGAGTGATTTTGAATTAAAATCCAGAAGCACTAGGCAAGTTTGCGTGGGCTACAAAAAAAGCAAAATCAAATACACCAAGCTTGGGGTAGAAGTTGAGAGATGGGGACCATTTAAAAATTTTGAATAGAGGTTGAGTAATAATACCATCACCGTGGATTGCTTTAAAAAAAAAGGCTATTATTATCACTTGAGCTGAATGCTTTTCTACAATAAGGATAAAGGACCTTACATTGTATTATATCTTGTTTTTCTCAACCCACTGGTGCAAGGAAGTCACCTCTAATCATAAGTAGTGAAATCCCTTCAATGTGATTCCTTGTAGAATCTTTTTGGTCCTTAGGGGACATAGCAAGCAAGCAGTATTTTCATTCTCAGTGCAACAATTGTCAATATTGCCTGAATTCATTCATTTCGTCCTTCCATCATTTATCCAGCTAATAACCACCAAGGGGGCACTGACCCTGTGCCAGGAACTGGGTTTAGGGTTCTCTTCTAAGGTGAATCACCTTGCGGCCTTGGGGAGGTCTCTGGGTATTTCCTCTTACATCCTGGGTCTCTCTCTTCTGTTTGACTATAAACCATTTGGAAAGGAGACTGTGCCTTTGATTCCCTCTTGCTTTTCTCTGACGTCAGAGGGATGCAGAAGCCAACCCCCTGCCATTCATGCTCCTAGTAGGGCTTGCATCCTCTCTGAATCCCACTTCCTGCAGCCCCTCCTGCAAAGGGTGGCTGCTGTGGTGATATCTCAGCAAAGGCCTTGACGGTTGCCAGCTACTCACTGATTCCTACAAATGAAGAGCCACTGAAACCAACTTTTACCAAGAGCAAAATCTCCAGCTCCAGCGAAGGGGCGTTCATCCACGGCCAGTCTTGTAACTGCTGTGCTTATGCTGTGGGGTCAGAGCTGCTGGAGCTCTGGGAATTGTGCTCCTGATGACAGGAGAGCCTACAAGTGTCAGGCTGACCGCTTCCAAACCCGGATGCAAAGACTGATGCAAACGCGTGCAGTTGGAGAATAAAGGGGCAGTTGGGATTCTCCTAGGAGATGTGGGTGGTGAGACCCTGGGCTTGGTCCCGTGGAGTTGGAACGATTCCTTCTCGGCACGCTTACGGCTCCATGCCTGGATCTCTGGGCTCACCAGTCGCCACATGCATTCCCCGCATGGCTGAGGAGTCACCACCTTGGAAGCAGACACTCCAGGTCCAGGACTAGGTGGAGGGCAGCCCAGGGCCTCTGATTGACCTCTGCTGAAAGCCAGCCAAGCACTTGACCCATCTGAAGGCAAACCCAGGGATGGGCATTGGCCCTCAGAAGCCCCTCAGCTGGACGGAGGCTCCAGAGCCCTCGTGATCATCCTTGGCTACTGAGGGCCCAGGCAGAGGCCCCCAGCCCCCACCACTACCTCGGCCCATCCTGGCAGCTTGCTGGCAACCCTGCTCTTACATTAAAATGAAAAATCCACGGATGAGTAAATGCCACATTTTTTCATTGTTTTGCCACTATTTGAGTCCCATGGGGTTTACAGAATCTTGGAAGAGCTGCTTTAGCAAAACTCCAAAAAAAAGTGAAATTCTCTTCCTAATGAAAACGATCCAAAACCTGAGTTAGGGCTGACAGTGAGGCAGATGGGGCATAAAGGAGGATGTTATGGAGCATGGGAGGGGACGGTGGGGAGACTCAGGAAACACGCACCAGGTGCCTGCCCTGCGCCTTGCAGAGAAGAGAAGGGCCAGCCGCTGCTTTCAGGTGGGCCGGGTCGATGATGTGATGGGGGCTTCCGGAGTCCACATCTGGCAATGCTGAGTAGATAAAGGAGCAGCGCCCTTCCAGTTCTCTTGAAATATATAAACATGGAATCTTACCCTAGAGACAGCCGCATCGAAATCGAGTCACATTGAGAACTGACATGCTAGTAATTGTACTGAAGCCAGAATTCCTTCTGGGGTCCCACCCAATGTCGTGGATATTGTCCACTGCACCCACCTGGCTCAAGAGACATGGCTTCCCTTAGTGGCCCTTGCTCGGTGCCCAAGGGTGGAATTTGCATCCATTCCTTCCAGTACCTTCCCCAGGGTCTTCACCATCTGAAACCTTGCCCCCGCCATGGGTTTACTACACCTCACCTTCCTTCTCCATCCCGCTCCAGTTATTTAAAATCTACTATTTGGGCTTCCCTGGTGGTGCAGTGGTTGAGAGTCTGCCTGCCGATGCAGGGGACACAGGTTCGTGCCCCGGTCCGGGAGGATCCCACATGCTGCGGAGCGGCTGGGCCCGTGAGCCATGGCCGCTGAGCCTGCGCGTCTGGAGCCTGTGCTCCGCAACGGGAGAGGCCACAACAGTGAGAGGCCCGCGTACTGCAAAAAAAAAAAAAAAAAACAACTACTATTTCATGCTTGCTCACAACTTTCTAGTGAGAGAAAAAAAGGAGGGCATTGGGGCTCCATCTCTGAGGCAAGCCATTCTCATTTTGTTTTGCCTGTTGTCTCTTCCTGTTCCTTTCCCTCTGGGTTTTTCCCTGCTGTCCAGGGAGATTTTCCCAGTTTCTGAGACAGTCCTCCTCTGTTCACCATACATGGTACCCCACTGGGGTACAGAGCCTTCTTAGCCATAGGAGGAGAGACTCCTCCCACTGCTTCTACTTGCGTCGGGGAGAAGTCTGCAACACCCACCATGGGGGCTTTGAGTTCAACTAAACATTCAGACTCATGAGGCTACCACAGGCCATGCCTGGCATCAGGATAACTTCAAAGGGCCTAGGACAGAAACACTGCCCACCATCAGAGCAGCGTCAGGCGTTTCTCTTCCGTGAGAGTGGTCTTGGAAGCATTCTACAAGCCTCCAGAAGCTATCTTCTTTTGTTCCCCAGATGACAGCTCCTTAGATGAGAGGGAACAAGACTGTCATTGGACAGGTGTGAGTATTGCCCCGTCAGAGCTAGTATCTCTTATAGCAACTCCATAGATGTAACTTTCAGAGTTGCTGTGTGGGATTTGCCCAATTACGAGAGTCCCTGCACTCAGGGAAGCCTCCAAGCAAGACATCTCCACCAGGATCATTATAAATTTTGCATAGTTCCTCCCAGTTTAGATGCCATTTACTAATCAGGGGTCACTTTTGTTATAAGATGTTGCTTGGTAACATGCTTTATAGAATACCATCTTTCTCAGGCTTCCGGGGAAACAGAGAAAATTAACTAAAAGTCAAATTCTCAGGCAGAAGGGGAAAAGGCTTTGCCAACTTTTTAAACAATGCTTTCCAGGGGAAAGGATGCCTTGGAATACAAGTAATCTGGGTAAATCATTGCCTAACTTTAGATCTTGGAATGTCTTGAGGAGTCATCTGGTCTACCCTTCATTCTATAAAGGGAAAAACTGAGTCCAGAAGAGGGAAGTGACTTGTTCACAGATAAAGGATGAACTAATGAAGGACATTCGACTAAATCCCAGGCCTCCTGGCTCCTATATCAGGGGTTCTCTTTGCTTTCTAGGGCCCTGCTTTGAGCTCTAGTAGGGAGAAGGCAAGGGCCATGAAAATGCATGATAGACTCCCCACCCCACCCTGCTTGTGGTCTGTGGCAGTCCTTGCTTGGGGACGTTGGTGGGTGGTAGCAGTGACATCTCTCTGTCCTTTGCAGTGGCAGCTGAGTGCCCTGATCAGTGGCCTGAGCTGCAGCCCTGGAACCCTGGCCATGACCCAGACTACTACGTGCACATAGGCCAGGGCAGAGCACTGCTGCTTATCGCTTCTGCCACGGTCCATTCCATCCGCATCTCAGAGGGAGGTAAGCCAGTCTCCCTCCCCTGCCCCACCTCTCTCTGGTCCGCTGCCTCAGAGCCTAGCAGATGGGATGCAGGTTGCCATAACTGTAGATGGACAGAACAAATGTCACATGCCTTGGGTTCATGTCAGAGCATCTGGTTGTTTGAGCCCTGAGGAGTGGCTTGTCAGAGGTCCAATCTTAGTGAAAGAAGCATTTATAGAGGAAACTTCTTATTGGTGCTCTGAGCATTCCTGCTTATCTGACCTTCAGATGCTTGCTCATTGAATGCAGCACATGGAGCGATAGCAGTAAACCAAGCAGGCGTTATTTACACATCACAAGGCATAGAGAAAAGCAACCACCGTAAGCACAGCGAGCATAGAAGTATTGGAAAGACACACCTCTTTGCCTGCCTGAGGGATGACATGAGGGGCTTAGGAGGTCTGCCCTTGACTCTGCTATAATCTCACCACTAAGACTTGTCTTCCTAAACCTCACTCCATTCCTGCCTCTTCAGGAAAGCTAGTCATTAAAGACCAAGATGAGGCAATTGTTTTGCGTACCCGGCACATCCTGATTGACAACGGAGGAGAGCTGCATGCTGGGAGTGCCCTCTGCCCTTTCCAGGGCAATTTCAGCATCATTTTGTATGGAAGGTGGGTAGACAGCTTCCATGGGTCACATGATACTCTTGGATCTGACGGGAAGGAGGTTTTTCATGGAAGAGAGGGAGGTAAGACAGCAAGGCTTTAGTGCAAGAAAGGAATTATCATTAGGTCCTGCCAGATGGTAATCATGAACGAGACAGACAGTGGCGATTCGGGTGAGTTGGAGGAGTGCGTGAGGCATTTTATTTATTGTGGCTCGGGTCCGGACTTAAGTTACAGAAACCCCTGCCAGCCTTTCTGCTGCTTTCTAATCATGTCATGGCTGAGGGAGTCTCTGTGAATGTTTATTAATAGCTTATGATGGACAAGATAAAGAAAAATTCCGTGCAGTATTTGCCTCTGGTGTGCTCCCTCTTTAAGCAATTGAGAGTTCTCAGAATCAGTAACCAAGAGTACACACGGGTATGCAGTCCAGGTGATCCCACATCTGATATGGACCAAAATATGACATACTTAGAACTGGAAAGAAGTGCCAACATATTAACTATTGATAAGTATTTCTGCTTGGCCTGTTGGACACATTTTGGTCTGGTGGGGGACAACCTTGGTTGCCAATGCTATGTCTACTGACCTCGAGCAATCACCAGGTGTAACTGGGTCCAAGGTGGCCACAGTGGGAGTCAAGAGCAGTGCAGTCCCCTCTGGGCTTAGCATCCAGTAAAGAGAGGTGTCGGCCGACCATGGAGAGCTGTTCTCTCTTGTAGGGCTGATGAAGACGTTCAGCCAGACCCTTACTTTGGCCTCAAGTACATCGGCGTCGACAGAGGAGGTACCCTTGAGTTGCATGGACAGAAGAAGCTCTCTTGGACATTTCTGAACAAGACTCTTCACCCCGGTGGCATGCAAGAGGGAGGTTATTTTTTCGAAAGGAGCTGGGGTCACCGTGGAGTCATTGTTCATGTCATTGACCCCAAATCAGGGACAGTCATCCATTCTGACCGGTAAGGCTTGCCCTCACGTGAACACATTCATTCATTCAACGTACACTTACTGAGCATGCGTCCTAGCCAGACGCTGCTCAGGATGCTGGGGGCACAGCAGTGAGTGAAACAGACAGAAATCCAAGCTGAATTGAACAGGAACAGGCATGTTTGCACACACACACACACGTGTAAGCACAGCATAGTTTCAGGCTGTGATCATCGGTAATTAGGGGGAAGAGACATAGTGAGAGGGTAGAGGGTAACTAGAGGAGACCGCTTTGCATCACGCGGTCTGGAAAGGCCAGTGTAAACAAGCAGCATTTGAGCTGAGGACCGCTGGGTAAGGCTGAGTCAGGGAAAGAGTTTTCAAGACAGAGCGACAAGTGCAAAGGGCCAGAGGTGAGAAAGGGCGTGATGTTCTCACAGGGAGGAAGGGCCAGCAGAGATATGGGAGGGCAGAGGGATGGAAACGAGATGCCATAATGTCAGAGTTTTAGGCAGGGGTGGGTGTGGAGGCCTTGGAGGCCCAGTGAGGAGGTGGGTTTTATTCTTAGTGGGATGCAAAGCCACCGAAGGGCTTTAAGAAGGGTACGATCTGATTTAAAGGAACTGGCTGCTGTGTAGAGAGTGGATTGTTTGTGGAGGGCAAAAGTAAAGCCAGCAGAGGTGGTTAGGAGGCTTCTGCATGGTCAAGGCGAGCAAGGTCGCCGGCGAGGACTCAGGTAGAAGCAGTGGCAACAGAAGTGGATGAACTTGAGAGATATTTCGGAGGCAGATAGGGCAAGTCTCCCGCTCCCTGTCCCTTGCCCTGGCTCAGGTATCCTGGCAGATTCTGCAGAGGGGGCTCTCCCGGGGGCTCTTGCCCTGGCCTTGCAGAGGCTGTCTCAGGCCACTCAGAGAGGAAGATCCACTAGGAAGGGCACAGCTGGAATAGGCAAGCAGAGACAGCTTTCCTGGTCCTGCTGGAGGATGGGCATATGGAACTCCTCAGAAACAGGGCATGAGCTGTGAGCGTCCACAGGAAGGCAGCAGGGAATCAGCTGTGATATGGGACAGGGAGGGCAGAAGCACGCGGGACAGCCAACCTTGCCCTCTGGTGGATATTAGTAACAATAATACGATCACTGGACTTTGTGCAAAACCCTGTGTTAAGCACTTTATCTGCCGAATATAACTGAATCTTCAGAACCCCTGTCAGGCGGCTTCTGTTGTTACACAGGTGAGAACGCTAAGGTTGGGTGGAGCTAAATTTGCTCGGAGTCACAAAGCTGGGGAGTGTTGGAGCTGCGATTCAAACCCAGATCTGCTCAGGCCCTAAACCACTATATTGTCCCCACGGGGGCTGACAGCCACCTGCTTGGCCTGGGACGGAGCAATCCTCAGACCACGGTTAACGAAACCAGGCTGAGCTGATGGACACAAAACCTGTCAGAGAGCCTCTACCTTCACAGGAGAGAGAACAGTCTCCTCAGTTGTGTTCTGACTCCTTGATGCTGCTGCTTTTTTGTTTTGAATTTTATTATATTATATTATATTGATTTTTTAATTATTATTAATTTTTATTGGAGTAGAGTTGCTTTACAGTGTTGTGTTAGTTTCTGCCGTGCAGCAAAGCGAATCAGTCACAGGTATACATATATCCACACTTTTTTAGATTTCCTTCCCACTTAGGTCACTACAGAGCACTGAGTAGAGTTCCCTGTGCTATACGGTAGGTTCTCATTAGCTATCTATTTTATACATAGTAGTGTATATATGTCCCAATCTCGCAGTTCATCCCACCACCCCCCTTCCCCACCTTGGTAACCATAAGTTTGTCCTCTACATCTGTGACTCTATTTCTGTTTTGCAAATAAGTTCATCTCTACCATTTTTCTATATTCCACATGTAAGTGATATTATACGATATTTGTTTTTCTCTTTCTGACTTACTTCACCCTGTGTGACAGTCTCTAGGTCCATCCACGTCTCTGCAAATGGCACTATTTTGCTCCTTTCTGTGGCTGAGTAATATTCCGTTGTATGTAGGTGCCACATCTTCTTTATCCATTCCTCTGTCGATGGACACTTAGGTTGCTTCCACGTCCTGGCTATTGTGAATAGTGCTGCAGTGAACATCAGGGTGCATGCATCCTTTTGAATTCTGGTTTTCTCCGGATGTGGCACTGCTTCTTAAGTAGTACAGCATGGTTACTTGCAGCAGCCAACCTGAAGTTGAATTCATTACTGAAGTGCTTAATGAGATGTTATCCCAATAGCTGATGTGGAGGTTCCAAAGACAGGATACCTGCTCCTTCCTAATCTCCTTCGGGTAAAGTATGAGTCAGTGGGCTCAGGAATCTGAGAGCTGAATGTGTGTGAGTAAGGGTATTAATAAACCCTGAACACACACAGAAACGCAGGCTGTGGTCACCTGAGACCTGGCTACCTGGAGGTTACCTGCAGAAACAAGAACTTAGGTCGGCTCTTGAACGGTAGGAAGTATTTGATTGGCTGGATGGAAGGAAGTATTTGATTGGCTGGAGGTAAGGATGAATGAGTGAAGGCAGGAGTGGGCATGGGGTATGACCATGGGACCCTGAGCTCTACTACGCTCATAGCAGACAATTCCTGGGGCGGGGCACTGGAGAAGGAGGGGGCCTAGGTGGGGTCAGACCAGGTTATGAGAACAATTAAAAACCAGTTTGAGGACTCAGGAGCATCCATACATTCCCCCCACACTCCCCGTACCACCACTGTTTTCCTTTTCCCAAATCTTGGCTATTCATGCTGGTTTATTTTTCTAGACTCGTTTTAGAATTATTTTGCTCGTGAAGTTCTAAGACAGATTCTTTCGGAATTTCCGTTGTCATTGTACAAAATGTTTATACTTAACAAGTACACTTTATACTTAGAGTTGAGATCATTACACAACTGGGTCTTTCCTTTGTAAATTCTTGTCACCTGGGATACAGGTTTTTTGAGATCTATATTTCATAGCTATTGTACGTGGATGAGGGTGGGTTATCTTTGCCAAGTCTGAGATGATCGATTCTTGCTGTAATGAAAGCTTTTTTCTTTAAAAATCATAGCCCTTGAGATCTTTGGGTGGCGTGTGAGTTGTCATACCACAGGTAGGTGCGTAGAGTTCTCTTTTTGGGCCGCTGTTAGGACTATTAAAATCCCCTCTCTCTGCCCTTTTTAGGTTTGACACCTATAGATCCAAGAAAGAGAGTGAACGTCTGGCCCAGTATTTAAACACAGTGCCCGACGGCAGGATCCTTTCTGTTGCCGTGAATGATGAAGGCTCTCGAAACTTGGACGACGTGGCCAGGAAGGCGATGACCAGATTGGGCAGCAAACACTTCCTACACCTTGGATTTAGGTATCGCCCGTCACTTCCACCTCCCCAGGGCTCCAGAACACTGAAGCATCGCTACCCGAGGCTGACTTTACCTAACTTCCTTGCTCGTTTCCCCAGGCGACATCACCCTCAGTGGTGACCCTGGGGGGTGCAGACATGTGATCCATCCGCATTGGACACGTTAGGGCTTGTTCTTAAAGGGAGCCTGGTTTTCCTTGTAAGCATATTCCACTCTTCAGGCTCCACAGGTCTCTGTGTATATGAACTCATTCATTCAATCGGCCACTTACAAAATATTAATTGAGCATCTACTGTGTGTAAAAGCCGTGCCTCAGATGTACAGCTAATGGTCATTTTCCCTTTCTTTAGCAACGGGGTCAGAACACGCCTGGGGGGATTGGCAGACATCTGTTTAGAGACCACATAAAGTGCGTCTGCCCAGCCAAGCCCCCCCGGCAGAAGGGGCCCTTTGATGTGCTCCAGGGCGTGTTTTGTTTGCCTTGGATTGCAGCGTCATGCCTGACTTTGGCATGCGCACCTGTTGGCACCAAGAGGAAGCCATTTACCCCACAGTAGCCACGCCTTTTAATCGTGTTGAATCAGATCTCAGTTCAGTGGAAAGTTGAGATCATCTGTCCCGTAGCTATTGGAGATAGGGATGCACCTCCCTCCAGCTCTGTAGACCGTGGGCAAAATGGGGGCAGGCCAGAGCCTTTTCTGGGCTCTGAGCAAAGCAATTTTACTGCCTGGGCAGAGGTCCCCTGGGCAGGGACAGGACTCCGGGTTCAAGGGTGCTTTTTCTGACTGCCCGTGGGCTGCTCCTTCTGGAAGGGTTTGGGCAGGAAACTCAAGCAGCCAAAGAATGACAGTGACACTTTAGAACTGTTAAAACTCCTTTGTTAACCAAAACCAAGGGTGCTGCTGTTTCACTGTGTTATAAGCCAAAAGGCCAGTTAGTTAATTTCCAATGACAGGCAGAACCACAAAGGGACTGGCTACGTAGGGCTTCAGCGGAAGAAGGTCCAAGATCTAGCATCCGACTTGGCCTGAATTTGAGTCTGGGCTGCACCTCCTGCTAGGTGACTGCACAAGTGACTCACCATCTCTTTGCAGGCTTCCCGTGTCTGTACAATGGGATATTTGAGGAGCCAGCTCAAAGGGCTCTGGGGAGGGTAACTGTGATAATACGAGCAAGATATCTGCCACTGTGTGTAGCGCAGAATAAGAACTCAATAAACGTTAGCTACTATTCTCTCCTTATAAACAAGAGCCACGGAGGGATGGGTGCTAATTCTATAAGTGAAGAAGATAGGTAGGCAGGGATTACATTTTTACCCTTCATTTGTATAGACCCACTTTGAATGACAAACTCAAAGCACCTAAAATCAGTAGAAGATCTGAGACTTGGACCCATCATTTGTTCATTCACCCAGGAAGGGACAGTTGAGCAAATATTGCCATAAGGCACTAGGGCTGGACTAGCTGTACTGAGCTCTCATGGTAAGTTCTGACCTGTCTCTGGAAGTACTGAGCTCTCGCCGGGAGGCAGACATTAAATGGGAATTGATGATGGGGCGTGAAAGAACAAGAACAGGAGGGGTGAGAGGTGAAGCTGCCAAGGTGGACAAAGGAGGGCCTCTTGCTTTGGGCCAAGGAGCTTGCTTTTTATGCAGATGGGCAGGCACTGAAAGATTTTAAGCAAGGGTGGCACAGTCAAATCCCCAACCTCGATGAAGACTTACTTTCCAAGATAAGAGATCAAAACAAAAATAATCAAAGTTATTGAGGACCAAGACCTACTGACATCTCACAGTAAGCGAGAGGCTGGGTTAGGTATTGGGGGAAGACAAAAACGGATAAGAAAACCTTCCCACCCTAGAGCAGGGCACGCTTCAATGGAGAAAAGAGGAGTGTATAACTTTCCAAAGTGGTACCCCTTCTTTTTCTCCTTTGCTTCTCATTAGGAAGAAGAGGTATTTCTTTCCTTCCCAAGGCCCAATGCCGATTCCTGGTACTCAGTCACATCTGCCTGTGGCATTTTCCTCGAGATTAACTCATGAGAGAAATAAGCTTTCTCCCTTGGAGCATGTTTCCTTGTTTTCCTAAAGGAATCAGAGCACTTGCTTCACAACCTAATTGAGCCTGGCAGGTGGTACGTAGGTCTGTGGGCTTGTTTGTTATTTGTGATTCATACCCTGTCGACTGCCAGAATGGAGTTGCAGAGGTTCACAGTCCCCAAACATCAGGCCAGCCAAGTGGTTCGGAAGGCCAGGGCTTGCAGAGAAAGACTCTTTTTCTTCTGGAGAAAGGGAAGCCCAGCCTGGAAACTAATTTCCCCAAACAGCCTCTGTGTGACACTCTGCATCAACTCTACCTCCAGTACAGGCTCAGATGTGTGAAGAACTTTTTTGTTGTTTTTTTTTTCAGACACCCTTGGAGTTTCCTAACTGTGAAAGGAAATCCCTCTTCTTCTGTTGAAGACCACATTGAATATCACGGTAATAAATGGCGAGAGGCCAAATTCCCTCCAGTGTCTCTCTGACCAAGAGACTCAGGGGCTTTTTGAACCACGCTGCACCCTCAGAACATGGCTGATCCACCACCCAACACCCTGTTGAGTGACTAGCTGCTTAATGGCCAAGTTACATGAGTGGCAGAAGTCCACACTGATTTAAGGCCAATCACTAAGATAATATTTACATTTGCAAAGAAATTGTCATTGGTTTAATCCAAAACAAGTGACACAGGAAAGACGAGAACTGGGACAGAACCAGCAAGGGTAATATTTTTAGCTAAAAAGACGCTTTGGGGGCTTCCCTGGTGGCGCAGGGGTTGAGAGTCCGCCTGCCGATGCAGGGGACACGGGTTCGTGCCCCGGTCCGGGAAGACCCACATGCCGCAGAGCGGCTGGGCCCGTGAGCCATGGCCGCTGGGCCTGCACGTCCAGAGCCTGTGCTCCACAACGGGAGAGAGCACAATGGTGAGAGACCCACGTACCGCCAAAAAAAAGACACTTTGGGAAATTCCCTGGCGGTCCAGTTGTTAGGACTCCACGCTTTTACTGCCGAGGGCCTGGGTTCGATCCCTGGTCGGGGAACTAAGATCCCACAAGCCTTGCCGTGTGGCCAAAAAAAAGAAAAAGATGCTTTGGATGGGCTGTTACCACATAGCACCAGCCTCCTCTGCCCAGGGACGGTTTCGGAAGGTACTGCCGGTTCTAATCCTGGAGAGGAATTCACATGAGAAACCATGGGGTTCCAAAGTATAGTACTGTTGGAACACTGCAGTTAAACTTGCAAAACTGAAGCAAAAGAAGGAACAATAAATAATCTGCTCTGGAAAGATTGGCCTGAAATTTTTGTTTTTTAACAAAATGACTCAAGATCCATGTGTGTAGGGGGCTTTCTCTGCATTCGCATCACATCCTTCTGAATTTGGGGGTCGGTCTGGTTGCTGACGCCTCTGATCTCCTCTTTGACAGGACACCACGGCTCTGCTGCTGCCCGGGTATTCAAACTCTTCCGGACAGAGCATGGCGAGCTTTTCAATGTCTCTTCATCCAGCGAGTGGGTTCAAGGTGAGGAGTTTGGGACACCTTGGTAAAATTTCACAGGGGGCTAAAAGGCCAGGGCTTTGAAGAACGAGGACTTTTCTTTTGCACCAATAGGACCACTTGACTCTGGCAGTGTCGACTTAGTTTGCAACTGAGAGCTGTCTTTAATTAATCACGTCTCCGTGGTGAATAGCCCAGGGGGAAGTTTCTTCTCAGGGAATACCTCTTCTGTGCCAGGCGCTGGCACTGAACAGAGAACACGGACAGGAGGAGTAGGAACCAGGCTTCAAGGAGCCCACACACACGGGGACGGGGGCACGGAAAGAAGCAATCCTCACTGCCATCCTTGGATAATGGGCTCATGGATGGATTTCATCTTTCTCCTTTTGGCAGTAGTGAAGAGTATCTATTGCTTTTATAAAATAAGATAGTCAATAAGAGGCACTTTTAGGGCTTCCCTGGTGGCGCAGTGGTTGAAAGTCCGCCTGCCGATGCAGGGGACACAGGTTCGTGCCCCGGTCCGGGAAGATCCCACATGCCGCGGAGCGGCTGGGCCCGTGAGCCATGGCCGCTGAGCCTGCGCGTCCAGAGCCTGTGCTCCGCAACGGTAGAGGCCACAACGGTGAGAGGCCCGCGTACCAAAAAAAAGAGGCACTTTTAATAAAAAGGTGGAAGAGGTGGGGGAAGTTGACAGATGGTTTAGAAGCCTCTGGGTACCCAGCCTGGTGAGAACCTGGACAGATGGTATTCCATTCCCATTGTGCCAAGGCTGCTTGGGGGCTACACGGAGTGTGGCTGGCTCTCCTGCGCCCTTGCTCGTCTGACCCTGCTCTTTGCTTTCTTCCCAGATGTGGAATGGACAGAGTGGTTTGAACATGACCAAGTGTCTTACACTAAAGGTGGGGAGAAAATTTCAGACCTCCGGGCCACTCACCCAGGGAAAATCTGCAATCGCCCCATTGATATACAGGTAACCAAATAGTTATAAAGGCTTTGTCTCGAAGAAGACTCTGTAGATCACAGACTCTCGTGCCATTTGAGTGGTGTGAGTCTCACGGCCCTCCTGTGACGTTGGTAAAGCCAGAGACTGTTCTCATTTTAGAGACTGACATGGAAGCTGTGTATCTGCTCCAGGCTTCCCCACCAGTGAGTTTCAAAGCTAGGCCTCAGATTCTCTCCTGGGTTCTACTGCTGAGTTCCTTTTCCTTCTCCCCAGCTGCTGCTTCAGCCACAGCTGAGGGTGCCCAGCGTGGGGTTGGGTTTGCCCTACTCAGCTTCACTCCTCCGTTGGTCTCCTTTGGGGCCTCGAGTGCACAGGATCTGGCCGGGACTTGGGTGCCGGCGGAGCCTGGCCCAGGTGGAGAACACGTACAGCCTTGTTCTCCACTCAGTTAATGAAAGCCGGCATTTGCAGAACGGATGGTGTTTGCTCGGGATCTTCACTTGGAGTTAACTCTGTCCAAGGCGGACCTAGACTTTCTCAGCTGGCTCCATCATGAAAGTGTGGGGTGAATAGGCAGCCCTCACAATTCAGTGGCTCAGCTGGTAAGCTTCCGAGCTCAAAGGACCAGAAGAAAGACAGAGACATGTGCAAGGAAATGGAGTTTATTTCCTTATGCCTGGTCTTCTTCCAAAACAAGGTTTGGGGCCACTTAACTGTTTGATAGAGAATTAGGAGTCATTTGAGAAAGACCATCCCTGCCCATTTTATCCTCTTTCAGCCAATACAAATAGCAACATTTGTACACCACCTTCTTTCAGATTATCTAACCGCAGGTCCCAGGTCATCTGACTGCCTCCACCCCTCCACCCCCTGACCCCCACCCTGAGGCAGTACTTCTGCCCTCTGCCTTGCATCGTAGAGGGACTCTGGGACAAGGGACCAGTTTTCCAAGAGAGGACACTCTGTTCTGCGGTTAGCAAAGGCCAGGGAAACCTTTCTCATTGTTTGGCTAAGGCTCTCCGTTCACATGGCTCCAGCGTTACTGAGAAGGATTTACCCAGATTCAGTTACACGTTGGAGATTCTTCTTGGGTCCAACAGAATCAAAAAGTGCTGACCCCCCCAAAGCACATACTTCCCAGATTTAATTTTAATCTTCTCTTGCAACCCTGAATGTTCCAGCTCTCATTCTGAAAGAGCCATCATTTTATTCCTCCAGTTCACTTGGCTACAGGAAGTCCAGTCTTGTACCAGCACTCCCTCCCCAAGTATTTCTGGAAATCCTCGAGGAATGCTTCCATGCTCTGCAAATCCCTCTTGGTGTTTGCTCTGCCAGCTGCCTGGCTCCAGATCACTGTTGTTTAGAAGACCACTTCTCCATGCTAGGAAAATAGCTTTTCTTAGGCGTTTCTAGCTCTCAGTAACTTTGCTCCCAGCACAGATACGGGCTCTTCCCTGAGAGTGTCAAAGCACAATTAATCCCAGGCTAACACAGTGAATGAAACTTTACTAAAGGCTTGGAGATAGCAGAAGAGACTGGAGAAAGTATACATATTTTTCCATATGTTACATGTATAATCATATGTGACTGCTCACCAGCTCCATAATCCAAGACCTTCCACGGGGACCCAACCCCAGACTCTGTAACCACCAGTCTGCCGCCATATTGCAGGGCCCAGTTGCCTTCCAACAAAAGGAGTATCCTTGACAATGAATTCCCCGAGTTCAAGGTCTCAACTATTCGAGGTCCAGAGAAGAATAAAAGACCCAACAACAGTTTTCCCCATTACCCAGAAGCTTGGGCCAGCCTTCCCGCAAAAGTGCATTCTTTGACAATATTTTGCTGAGCATTATAACCCCTTATTAGGTCAAAACTCTCAATTCCAGAATAAAATCTTGGCTTTTTCTTGGCAAAACAAAGGTTCCTTGAGGCAGTCATCTAAAAACATGTCATGTGCCTCCAAAAGTGAATCAAAGCTCCACCCCTAAAGGAAAGGAGGAAGTGCTGCATTCTGGAAATGCCAGGTTCATCCCTTTTCTCCTCACCGTCAACCTTTAATCAGTAGTGACCCCAGACTTAGCCAGAACATCTCTTTCTAGTCATAAAAGACAATGAGGTAGAATATATTCTGGGCTTTTCTGAAGTCAGAAAAGCAAAGCCAGGCTTGTCCTATGTTTACCACAGGTGAGAAAAGCAAGATTACATCCTCTTTATAAATAGAGTGTCAGACATGTCAGCCAGGAGCTAAATGCCCTAGTTAATTAACCCACCAGAGAGACTGAAACAAAACTGAAATGCCCATGTGCCCATTTTTGCCACTATGGGAAATAACAGGTTACTGTGGTCACTGGCCACCTCTGACCACCGTGCAGGCCCCGGTGCACCTGAAGACTCTCCAGGGCTGTGGCCACCCCACACAAGGGATCCCCCAGATACTTGCTCTACCCTGACGTGGTCAAATCCTCTGGAGGGGGAGGGGGTGTTAAGGACATTTGTCACCTAGGCAGGATGGCGAGTTGGAAAGAAAGAGGAAATAGGACTCACACAGTTGACCTCAACTCAAGGAAATTTTTTCCAGATCTGATAGCTTGTGATTCTGCAGAATCAAAACCAAAACCACAGTCCCCTGTTCCCATGTCATCACCCTTCTTGAGGTTCTCCTGGGTTGAAATCTCCTCTCCTCCCACCTTCTCCCTTAAAACCCACCCGCCCTTCAAGGCCAGTGGAACCTACTGGACTCACACATCCTTGGGGCTGAGACCATACTGGGCAGTCCCCTCTTCTCCCTCATCCCCGGCACAGTGGCTGGAGGTCAGTCTGGTGGTTGGAAGATGTATTTTGAAACCAGATGGCTCCTAGTTTGCATCCAGCTCCGTCACTTGTGAGCTATGGCTTATCAGCAGTGACAGGACTACGGTTAGACGTGTGAGGTGCCCAAGGCACAAAATTTAAGGTGGCACTCACTCCCAGGTGCCGACTCTGCACTCGCATGACCCTGAGAGTGAGTGCTGCCTTAAATCTTGCACCCTGGGTCATCCTCGCTAGCAATCCTGGCCATAGATATCAGTCAAGTTATTTAATTTAGTGTCTCAATTTCCTCATAAGCAAAAATGGAGATAAGAATTGTGTCCCTCATGGGATTATTTTGTGGATTTAATGCAACAATGCATAGTGAGTGAGTGCCCATAATTTTTTTATTATTTTAAAATTATTTTCCTATGTTATTGTTTATTATGATATTGCTAGTTATTTTATAATTATTATCACGAGTAACAATCACATCGTGTCTACTTAAAGTGAAGATCGAGGTTCACTGGACAGTGGTAAAGCCCTTTTTACTCTTCTTATCCAAAGCTAAGGTCGTTCTTACGGTTAGAAAAAGGAAAACAAGAAAAGCAGCAAGACTGAGTAGAGGTTTCCCGAAATGTTTACCGGATGTTGCACCTTAAAAAACGTCCAGCTCCATTGGATGATGTTTTCAGGCTCAGTTCTCAATATTAAGGGGTGTCTTAACTGAAAAACATGCTGGCCTCAGGGGAAGAGATCCGGGGGTCAGAGGCATGGGCTTGACATTCAGGTGACCTTGAACTTGCTTCTAAACCCCTCTGGGCCTTAGTGTTTTCCTCTAAGAGCAAGTCCGCAATGCCTGCCTCTCTGCTGCGGAGGCCACCCCAGATAATGGCTGTGAGTGTGTTGCTTGCATGAAAGGGCTGAATTTTCATTCTGGCTGGACTCACGTCTCCATAGCTCTCCTTCCAAGCCAAGGGCAGCGGCTATCTGCTGGGTTCAAAGCAGGGTTTCCTAAAAGTTCCCCCCCACCCCGCCTTTTTCGATTGACTAAATTTTACCTTCCTATTTGCCCAGCCCTGGTCCCTTTGGTTTCTGTGCCAAAGAGGATAACAGCTGCAGCCCTTGCTCTAAATTGCAAGTCTCTGATGACAGCCACAGTCATGATGCAGACATACCCCGGCCCTGGGATGAGCCCCAGCTGGCAGGGATCATGCCCTTCTCTGAACCCACTCCCTAAATTCTCTACCTGGCCTTGAAGCTTCTCGCCCATCAGCTCTCAACAGCTGAGACTGTGCTCTGTGCCAGGCCCTGGGCTGGATGCTGGGATCAGGGAGGGAGGCAAAACCTGGCCTTTCCAGAACCCACCAGCCACTGGAAGGAGACAGACACTGAACCGAGGGCAGTAGGCAGTAGTGCCTGAGGGCAGCAGTGGGAGGGGCTGCGAAGCACCAGCCGTATAGTTGGATGCGTCCAGATTCAAACGGGCAAGTTACCCAACCTCTCTGAGCGTCAGTTTCCTAATCTGTAAAACCAGCAACAATCTCATAGGCCTCATAGCCAAGAAGAGGGAATGAAATAATGTATGTAGCCCCATAACTCCAAGAGGGGTTCTCAAACATGACTTCCCATTGGAGTCACCTGGGCAGCCGTTAAACGTCCTGATGCCCAGGCTGCCCCCTGGACACAATCAAATCTGAGACTCCACAGATGGGGCCTGGGCATGAGTGTTTTTAAAGACTCCCCACAGGACGTGGAGCCACATTTAGGCACCAGTGGATTGATCATAGTGAGTCTTCAATAAATGTTGGCCACTCTGGATGGTGCTGGTGGTGGTGAGTGGGACAAGTTGTAAGAAAGCAGCCAGCACAGCTCCTAAAAGAGTGTGTGCTGGCTGTAAATGCTCCAGAAAATGTTCACCAGGGCAGTCAGTCACTGGTTTGGATACCAAATACGGCAGGACCCCAGGCAAGATGTTTATCCATCCTGTGACTTCATGCTGTCTTTCTTATACAAAATCGAGACGGGGAAACGTCAGAATAATAACCTAAGGCCATTGTAAATAAGTTTTGCAGCAGGAACAATTTTAGACTCGTGCGTATATGTTTATAACATTAATCATCACTTTCCTTCTTTACAAAAAGAAATGACTTTGCTCTGTAATTTCCATGCTGTTCCCAGGCCACTACAGTGGATGGAGTTAACCTCACCACCGAGGTTGTCTACAAAAGAGGCCAGGATTATAGGTTTGTGTGCTATGACCAGGGCCAAGACTGCCAGAGCTACCGTGTGCGGTTCCTCTGTGGGAAGCCTGGTAAGCACCTCCTTGCTGGGGACAGAAATGCAACCGTGGCTCGGTTCCTTGAGCTGCCAGCTATGCATTGGGAGTTTTGATGGCTGGCTCAGCTGCCTCTGGGCATCTCAGTGACCCCGTGCTCCTACCAAGCTCGCGATGGAGAGCACTTCTGTGACACAGGAGCTGTGGGAGGGTCCTCGGAGTTGGCAGGAGCCATCAGAGCCCCACCCTGCCCACATGCCTTTCAGGAAGGGGAAGGGCCTGGTCCAAGAAAACCAGGGTGCAGTGGACAGAGCTGACCTTCCTGCAGCCCTCCCCTGCATAGACACGCAGCTCATGGCCTCTTTGGGTGATATTATTTTAAACCCGGTTCTCGAGGTGCTCGTTAGAAGGGATTGGAAATGGTCGGTTTGTTCTCAGGGGCACTTGGCCATCTCCCGAAGGCAGTCATTAGGGATGGAAGTTCTTTGGAGGGGAGGCTTACAGCTACTGAAAATAATAGTTGAGAGGGACTATATTTGTTTCACATCTTTTGCAAAACGGGTGTGGTGAGGCAGCCACATTTAACTCCAGCTAAGGAGTTAGTGGAAAATTCCCGTGCCCAGAGCTAATGAATGGCTCTTTTCTGGTAGGGTTTTTGTTGACTTCAAAAAACCTGTACCAAGACTTGGATGGGGTGAGCCTGGCGATTTGGGTTTTGGATAGGCAAACCTGGCATTTACTGATTTAGGGAGGGGAAGGGAAGAGGTGGGGAGTCAGAAGTTTGCCAGGAGCAGAGCTTTATCTCTCAGTCTCTCCTATTTTGGGTTACAGTGAGGCCGAAACTCACTGTCACCATCGACACCAACGTGAACAGCACCATCCTGAATCTGGAAGACAATGTACAGTCATGGAAGCCCGGAGATATCCTGGTCATTGCCAGTACTGATTACTCCATGTACCAGGCAGAAGAGTTCCAGGTGCTCCCCTGCAAAGCCTGTGCCTCCAAGCAGGTCAAAGTAGCAGGTAGGACATTTCCTCACCCCTCCCTAGGCCTGATGAAGCTGAAAATTGTTAGGCTTAAAGTTGACTGAAATCAAAACAAATTTGTGTCAGTCAGCTATTGCCATAATAATGCTGCATGACAAAAAAAATCCTTAAAATTTCATGGCAAGCATTTATTTCTTACTCATGCATCTACAGGCAGTCTAGGGTTCAGCTTCTCCACACTAAACTTGGCTCCAGGCTGAGAGTTGGGTTCAGGTCAGCTCCATGTGAGTCTCATTCTTCCCAGGACGTACTCTTCTCACAGGGGAGAAGTGGACCGAAACATGGGAGGACTCTTAAGGCCTTGCGGTCAGAACTAGCACCCTTTGACACCCACTTTCCATTGACCAAAACAGATCACATGGTCCAACTCAACATGAATGGGGAACTCTGTTTTTCCCATTAAGATAGAAGGGAGGGAATGAACATTTGCTAGGCAATAATTAACCTACCACAAAATTTTAAATCTCTTCTTTCTGTAGCTTTCACATTTTCCTTTTTCTTCTCCTAAATCTTGACTTCGATGCCCTGTCATTTATGTTGTGTGAGGTTACTGGAATTACAGATCGTTAGAGGTAAAAGAGACCTCAAGTATAGTCCAGGTCAATTATTCTTAGTTGGGGGAGTTATGTATCAGTTAGAATTCTTTGTTGTAAGCAACAGAATCCAACTTGACTATCTTAAACAAAAAAACGAATTCATTGAGGCTATTCAATTTAGAGAACTAAGTGAAAGCTGCCTGGCCAAGGTGCAATAAAGGACCAGGAACAGGGCAGCTTCAGGCGTCTGGGTAGCAGGAACGAATGGGAAGCATCCTTAAGACATCACTGTTTGCACATCCTGGGACATGGTGCTCAAAAGTTACCTTCCAGGGAGATGGCACTGATTGGGCTGGTGTCTCATGTGCTCACCCTCTGGCTAGGGCACCTTCAATGACTGTCCTTCTAAGACTGCATTGTATGGACAGAGTCGCTCCCCAAAGGAAAATTGGGATGTATTACCAGAGAAAGGAGAATCAATACTGGGCGTTAAAAATGTCAGCTGCTATGTGTGGAGTCTAAAAAAAAGGTACAAATGAACTTATCTACAAAACAAACAGAGTTACAGATATAGAAAACAAACTTATGGTTACCAGGGGGTAAAGGGGGGTAGGGATAAATTGGAAGATTGGAATTAACATATACACACTACTATATATAAAATGGATAACTAATAAAGATCTACTGTATAGCACAGGGAACTCTATTGATACTCTGTAATGGCCTATATGGGAAAAGAATCTAAAAAAGAATAGATATATGTGTATGCATAACTGAATCACTTTGCTGTACACCTGAAACTAACACAACACTGTAAATCAACTATACCCCAATAAAAATTAAAGAAAAACAATATTGGCTGCCACAGAACCATTGCACCTGGAGAAGTATTAGAATTTGGGGGTAGAAGGAAGACTATGAATTGAGAAAGCGTTACCAATATATTCAGAGTATCTATTATTTTGGAAATAAAACTACAAAAGGTAAAATTCAACAGAATCTTTTTGGCTAGTGGAAGTGTGCTTGAGAAAGAATTTGGGGGCACAAAGGTTTAAAAAAGTGAGAACGTGTGATGGAGTCCAATGCCATTATTTTATTCATGGGGATGGGGACCCTGGAGGGCATGTAGCTGAGGCAGTCCACAGATGCTGCAGCTGTGATCCTGGGGCACCAACTCTAGACTCAGAACTGCAAAAGGAAGGCTGTAACCGTTTCCAGAGATTGTGATGTGGTGGGTGTGGCGAGAGACAGGGAAGGGGGTAGCAGTTTGTGGGCAGAGGCTGAGATGACCAAACGTTTGTTCCTTGACAAGGTAACAGAATGATATCTTAAATGATAATTTGTTTGAAACCCCTACCTTCTTCAAAAAAGGTTTCGGGGTCTCTTAGAATGAACACAAGTCCAGGTAGATCTTCCTCCAGGGGGGGGAAAAAAGAAACCAGAGTGAAAGATACATGTCTAAGTAATGAAAGACTGATGGATGGAGAATAAAGTCAGCAGAAAGGGGGGTGGGAAATGAAGTTAGCAGAAGCTACTGAAATAGACCATAAAATGTATCTCTGAGCTTCCTGGCAGCCAGAGCAGAGAAAGGAACTTCACAACTTACTTAACTAACATTGTCTAATACAAGGAAGGGGACCAGAAGCCAAGAGAGGCAACTTTCCCTTAGCTCTGGGCTACTGGGGAATCTGTCATAGGGGCTTTCATGTGATGGCTACTGCACAGCAACGTGAACCGTCACCCTGGAAACTGTTTGATGCAAAGATGCTCTCTGTGTGTGGCTATTTACGGTTTGATTTATCACGTTAGACGGAGGGTCATGCTGTTTGTCACATTTTCTGAAGACATTTTGAGGAAGACTTTTTTTTTTTTTTTTTTGGTAAAATAGTTTAAAGAGGATTCACATTCTAGGAATGGCAGTGATTAGCCAAAGGACGTTAGACAATTACGTAACTTCCCTTTGCCCCTGTTTTCTCATGTATAAGATGGAGATAATGATCACAACTACTTCAAAGGGCTGTTGTGAAGATTAAAGGAGTTAAAGAGAGAGATACTTAAAGTAGTGCCTGGAGCGTGATAAGTGCTCCATTAGTGTTAGCTGTTACTAATAGTAGTATTAACGCAATAGTTTAGCAACTAAACTTAAGGATGGAAAGGAGGGAAGGGGCATGAGCCACAGGCCAGTGGTTGGAACCTGTGTATTTTATAGCTTATCGATTCTGCTCTTTGGGGACATGCAGCTTAAAGGAAGTTATAGAGGGAGAGGAGCAAGCCATTTCTGTCATTATTAGTAACAGACACACAAGGTCTGCCAGGCCTGCAGTTGTCTACGTGTCCTGATGCTTCTGGGTGTGGAGGCTCTTCCTGTGAATGTGTATGCCCCACCCTCCCTCCACCCTCAGGCTGGACAGGCATCCTCACTCCTCCATCACAAGGACACCTGCAGGGAGGTGGCAAGGAGCAGGTCATCATGTATTCAACAAACAAAGAGCACATAGTCTATGCCAGGCAATGCTCCAGGCTTTGGGAAGCCATGGTGAACCACATAGACAAGTTCTCTGCCCTTAGGCAGCTGTGAAAATGGATATCCAGCAAAGAATCATCCCAATAAAAACGAAATCCCAAATGTGAGAAAGGCCGTGGAAGAGGAAGATGGGGGATCGATGGGAGCATTGGAAACGGGGGTTTGACAAAGGCGCGGAAGACTCCCCAGAGGAATTAATGATTGAGCAGAGAGGTAACCAGGAAAGAGGGGAGGGGCAGCAAAGACCCTGTGCTGGGAAGAGCAGGCAATGCTCCAATTCCAGAAGAAGACCCAGGTAGCTTGACAGGGAAACGGGGGGCTGGAGGAAGCGGAGACCCCAAATGGCACCTTGGGGCTTTCTTCTGAGTACAATGGCTTATTAGACTTCCTAGACCCCCACTTACAGGACAGCACCAAGCGAAGCAATTCCTAGTGATTGTTGGACCCTTGGGTCTTCACTGGGTGTCTTCTGTGTCTCCTGAGGACAATACATGTGGACAGCCCTTCTGGGATGCCAGGTGTCCTCTGGGACTCTTGTCAGGAGTGGCATTCAGACCGTTTGAGGGGATGTCACTGCTCACTGTTTTTTGTTTTTGTTTTTGTTTCTTTTTGCGGTACGCAGGCCTCTCTCTGTTGTGGCCTCTCCCGTTGCGGAGCACAGCCTCCGGACGCGCAGGCTCAGCGGCCATGGCTCACGGGCCCAGCCTAAGTGACCCATGGAGCTGAGGCTGCCCTTGTGGCTTCTGGGAGAGTGAAAGCTTGCCTTTAAGGCCTTGCCTGCAGGGAGGTAGGAGGAGGGGCACCCCTGGGAGGGGCACTTTGTTCACACCGGCCCTCATCTGCACCTCATTGTTGAGCACCCTAGGCCTGGAGGGGAAATTTCATCTTGGGCAGGTCCTAATAGGGCAGTAGTGTGTGCCAAGAGCGACCCTGAGAATGAGGAAGCCGTGCGATCCTGGGGCACGCCCGCCCCGCCCAACGGCGTGGTTTGGGTGTGAATGATGGCGCGTTGCTGCAGGTGGCAATGTTTGGCCAACAGTTCCAGGGGCTTCATGAGGGCTGTGCAGGCTGGACAGAGGGTGAGATGGGGCTGCTCTGGGCCCTGAGTACCAAGGGAGGGAAGGGTAAGTGGAGGAGATGATGCATCCCTCTCAGGACCCTCCAAACGCCCTTGGTTTAGGACTGCCTGTGTCTGTATCTCCAGCAGCTCCCCAACCCTGCCGAGCCCCTCCCTCCGTAAAGTTACTAGGCTCAGAGTGGACCATCTTGCTCAGAAGCTTTAGGGCTTACATGAAAACAGCGCCTCCTGGTGGACAGCATCGGAAAAGCCCCAGGGAGGGGTATCTGTGAGGGGTGTGTGTGTGTGTGTGTGTGTGTGTGTGTGTGTGTGTGTGTGTGTGTGTGTCTTTCTGTTTGTCTGGCTGTCCTAGGGAGGCTCACATTTCTCCTCTTCAGCTCCAAGCCCATTCTCTGGCCCTCCATCCCCCACTGACATGGAGCAAGGACTCCACCTGCTTTGTTCTTTTCCAAAACTGTGCCCCCATCCAATTACCAATTCGTGTTCTCCTGCCCAGGCTGGCTTGCAGAGAGGGACACAGCCCTCCTGGATCCTCCTTCCTCACTGCCCCCAAATTCCAGTAAACAGGCCTTTTTGCATAACGATTTTCTGACGAGAAACAGATGGGGGTAACAAAGTCATGAAAATGTGTGAATCATCTAAAAAAATATTTCAAGGTTTTGCCAACCACAGTGTGATTTTCAACACCTCCCGACATGGCAATTAGAAATCTCCTCTTTATGATTCTTAAGCTGAATCTTATGTAATGGTTTAAAATAAATACATCCTTCGTCAGTAAAAAAAAAAAAAAAAAAAAAAAAAGAAGAAAGAAATCCCCTCAATTTTCTACCCTATTTTC